ATAATAGAAATAATAACTAAACCCTAACCCAATTCTCCACTCTTATCTTCTCAATCCTTCTCTGCTATCCTAATCCTTTATTTTTTATTCTCGGACCGTTTCAAATCCTTACTAATCACTTTGTGAGTTATCCTTTCTTATTACTACTTTTTTTTTAAAATTTTTCCTCATCACTATCCTTGTCACTATATATCTACAAATCATTTGAAACCATGATAAAGAGAAACGCAGGTTGAGAAGAAAAAAAAGGGATTGTAGGATCGCACATAGGAGGATGTAGGGAGGGACTCGGTGTATATATGAAAGGAGAGGGGCTAAGGGTTTTGTTTAGAACCAGAAATGAACAAGAGAATGTGGCTAGGGACTAAGATATGGTAATCAAAAGGAAAAAAATAAATAAGAAAGTTGTCATAGAGTTTAAAATAATTCGGTCATTCTAGAAACAAACAATCAATCCATTAACGAGTTCATACTTTTTAACTTAATTACTCCAAGCAACTGGGCTCATTACTACCAACCTGGTAGCAACAAATTACTTCACAAAATGGATAGAAGCAGAACCTCTAGCCAAGATCCGAGATGTGGATGTCAAGAACTTCATATGGAGAAACATCATCACCAGATTTGGAATTCTGAGAGCCATTGTTGCAGACAATGCTTGGTCTAAGTTTTTTAAAAATTAAATTTTTTATTTTTCATATTTTTTATTTTTAGTGAATATTTTTAAAATTTTAACTATTTTTTTTTTACTTTTTTAGATATACCTTACTTAGATACATCTAAAAAGTAAAATATTTGTGAAAAAATATTTTAAAAAATTAATAAATATACAAAAATACAAAGAATATATTGAATTTTCGTATTTTTGTGTGTTTTTGGTATGTAGTGAATTTTTTTTTCACTAAAATTATATTTTTTAAGTGCATTCATGTTAGATGTGTCTAAAAATTAAAAAAACTACTTAAAATATTAAAAAAATTCAATAAAAATAAAAAATATGAAAAATAAAAAAGTAAATTTTTTTGAAAAGTATTTTCAAAAAACTAAAAATAAACATGATGATTATTTTGTTAAAAAAATCATAATAAGAAATATATGTACTTTACCCCATTATTTTTTACAAAAATGCTTTAGAGCTCGAAAATGTTAAGACTTGATTGGCCCGAATTCAAAACGACGTCGTTTTGAAATTTTTTTTTTTGTTCTCTCATCTCTTTTTATCTGTGAAGTAGAGGGAGGAAGAGAGAGAGAGATAAGAGAAAGGAAGAGAGAGAAATGGAGAAGAAAGGAAGAGAGAAGCGCCATCACCGACGCCACCACTGGCCATCCTCGCCATCACCGACCATCCTCTACACACAGATCTACTGATCTGTATCTCTCTCTATCTCTCTTTGTTCTGTGTATTGATTTTTGGGTTTGATTTGTGGTTTGATTCGTGGGTTTGATTTGTTTTGATTTGTGGGATTTTTGGGATTGATTTGTATTGGGTTTGATTTTTGATGTTTGATTTTTCCTCTCCTTTCTTTTATTGATTCTATGGAAGAAGAAAAGAAAAGAAATATATATATATATATATAACGTGGCCGATATGGTACTACACCATCTTTTCAATTCCGTTATTTATTTATTTTACTTATTTTACTTTTACCTCATCTTTCTCCATATTTTCAATTTAAAAAAAAAAAAATGGCCGACAAGCCAATGAGGCTGCCAACCACTCCTCCTTTCCCTTTAATTATTTAGTTATTTTATCCATTTATTTACCTTATCCCTCCAGACAAACTCATGTCCCCACCAATTCCTATATTTGCTTTCCTCCTTTTAAAAAAAAAAAAGGTGCCAAAATGACGTCGTTTTGGCACCTCGAGCCATTCGAGCCGCGGAAGATTCGGGCTACCTAACGGGATTGTATTTTTTATGAGAGCTCAGACTTTCTGAATGGTCGAAACCGGGAACAGAGGTATACGTATATCGATTTATGATTGAAAAGCGGTCCAATTATCGATAAAATCCCCAAACGGTGAATCGGTCATTTTTTGCCCTGTTTGGTATAGTTGTTAAAACAGATTATAACTTATAACTTAACAAATTATAAATTATAATTTTAATCAGAAGTTATTAATCTGTTTAGTGTAACTGTTAGATTATAAATTTAAGTTACTGAGTAGTATTTGTTAAATAAACTATGAAGTAATTTTTTCAATTAACTTTTATTTTTATTATTCACTACTTGTCTACATTTCTCATAAAAAAAATAATAATAATTTAAAATTCATTTGAGTCTTTTTCTATTTTTAAAAAAATAAAAAATAAAAAAAATTAAGAGTATAACCATAAATTAAGGCCAAGTTTGGGTAGTTCCAAAAAAGTCAAAAAGCCAAAAAGTTACTCAAAAAGTTAAAAAGTTAACACTATTCACCAAAAGTCAACAATTACGTCTGCACAACTCCCAATTCAAATTTTTCCCTACAAATCAATTTTTACAATTTTTTATTACACATTTTTCAATAAAAAGTCAAAAAGTTAACCCAAATATCCATATTTTCAACCTCAATTTTTTAGTCCAAAAAGACAAAAAGTACACTTATTTAGTCTTCCCAAACTTGGCCTAACATGTCCATAGTAAAAACTGATAATCAGAAGTAAGTGGTGAGCAATTTTTTAGAGTCAATTTTTTTGAGTTAAAATAAGTTATTAGAATCAGAAACTGTTTAAAAAAATTCAACCAAACAATTTAAAATAACTTTTCAAAAATTAAAAATTATAAATGGGCTAAAAAAAAATCCAAACAAACACACTTTTATAATAGGTGTTCGCATCTAATAGGAAAACCAATCATGCTATGTAGCTCGAAATTACGCCCCCCGAATGGCCTGAATGTGTTAGCAGCGCCGGTTGTAGTCTTTGGCCCAGTTGTCCAAACCTGCGTGAAACTCACGCGTTGAATCTCTATGTTCCATCAAAACCAGAACAACACTTACAATCCAATGAAATGAGTATTCTTCTTGTTCATCATCATCTTCAAAAAAAAAGAATAACGATAAAGTATTATTGTCTTATGGGATGAGAGAGAATCCAAAGAAGAGCATTCGCTTAGTAGATCCCGAGTTCTCTTTTGCAATCGATGTTGCTGTCTCGGGTGGCTTTGTAATTAGTTCTTCAAGACGGAGAGAATGGGACCAAGTCTTCAAAGAACCCAATTTACTGCCGATCCAAACAAATTTGTAAATCAGGAATTCCACATCACCATCACAATCACCATTGTCAGAACCAAGCCTAAATCATGAAAATTGGGCTAGCCGAAGCAACAGCATCCTCTGCCGCTGTGTGCGTCCGAGCCAGAGGCGGTGAGTTCAATCTTCGACACTACTCCAAAAGAAGACGTTGTGTATTGTTTGATAATGATGTCGAGAGACAAATGGATAAGAGACGAAGAACAAGAACTAAAACCAACGTATGAAGATAATGATGATGAAATAGAGAAGTCTTATGAGATTGAGCTCTGTCACAAAGTGGAGTTTCGAATCAAACCCATGAAGAAGCATTAGAGGTTATTGAAAATCGAAATGTAGGTGTTTATGAAGAGAAAAATCCATGAATGTCTTGTTTGTTATAGTTTTCTCATCTAGGCAAGCACTTGGTGGGCATAAGAGATCATATGTTACTGATTCTTCAATTACTATCACTATTATTAATCATCCTCCGAAACCGCCATTGAAATGTAGAGATGAGAAAACTCTTTAACAATAGTAATCACTTAATATTCACAGATGTTTGGGTCTGAGAGAGAGAGAGAGAAAAAAAAAAAAGAAGAAGCTATGCACGTGAGTCCAAAATAGAGAGAGAGTGATCCGGGCCATTCGGGAGCTTAAATCCGAGCTATTAAGTAAAAAGAGGTTTTTAACCCCAAGTTTTGTGGGAGTTTTAATCTCTCAATCTAATTTTTCTGATTTTTTGATTTTTTTTTAAAAAAACTTAATATTTATTAACTTCTCCCAACTCCCAAGTCCTACCTTTATAATAATACTTTAGTGTATTAAAAACAAATATAAAAAAAAATTCTTTGAAATTCAACAAATAAATTTCTTGAAAAATCCCAACACATATGATTATTATCCCTCATAATAACACTTTAATGCATTAAGAATAAGTATAAAAAAAAAAATTTTTGAAAATTCCAACACATATGATTATTATCAAAATATTAAACTTTAATATAATATAATAAAAAAAAAGACATTTAATTCCTTGAAAAGTCAAACACATATGATTATTATCAAAATATTAAACTTTAATATAATATAAAAAAAGGAAAAAAAAAGGCATTTAAAAAAAAAGACATTTAAAAATCGCAATTCACATATATAGATAATTGTAAACACAATTTGTGCATAACACGGGTGATATGTTAGTACTATATATTAAGTAAAAGGGGGTTTTTAAACCCAAGGCCTGTGGGAGTTTCAATATTTCAATCTGAATTTTTTTAATTTTTTATTTAAAAAAAAACTCAACATTTATTAATTTGGTCAAAATTCTCTGATCAACATTTATTAACTTTTTTCAATCAACATGTCTTTCTACATGCCTGCATTTATTAATTTGGTCAAAAACTCATGATCAACATTTAAAATCATCTCATACAAATAATTATAGATACAATTAATGTATAATTACTGCAGTATCCTTTTCAACTTCTCCCATATACTATGGTTAGTGATAAGATTGTTAAATTATTTTTATAAAAAGTCTTAAAAAACATAATTTATATATTAAAAAAAATTTAAAATAAATACAAATATCTAAAATTATTCCGTGCATAGCACGAGTGATAGGTTAGTGCACAATAATACAGAATTGAATAAAAAATAAAAAGAACAATATAGAAAAGTCCAAAGCGGTAGCATAGAATAGAATCGAAAGCACCACGTGTGCTCTCAACCAACCACGGGTACACAGCATTATCTATTTATCTACCTCTACCGGTGATTTGATCACTGCTCCGTCAAGCCCATTGGGGTCCTAAATTCCTAGCATGCGATTTATCAAATCAAATTTGTACACCAATAAGAAGAAGAAGAAGAAAGTGGCTAAGAGAGAGAGACCTTGCAAAAGCTGAGATTTTTAGAGAGAGAGAGAGAGAGAGAGAGAGAGGAGGGGGGCCATAATTGATCTGTGAATGGTTTGTTTCATAGTTTTAATGGCGGCATCGATGAGATATGTTGTATTGATGTGTATATTTACAGTGGCGTCTTCGATTCGATATGCAGCTTCATCTTCTGTATCTGCATCGACGTGTTCTCCTCAATCCAATTCGTTTATTCACGATCTACAGGGTCAATGCCCCCTTACGATCTCCTATTCTTCGCCTATTCAGGTATGAGTATTTTTTCAATTCAATTATCTCTGTGTAGATGCCCCTTTCGATCTATTCATCTTTGTTTACTTCTTCTTCTTCTTCTTCTTCTTCTTCTTCTTTTTTTTTCCAATTAAATTTTCCCCATTTTATCTTCTTTTTTTTTTCCCTTTCTTTGTTTGTGTATTAATTACATGGGTTGGTGTTTATTTTGCAGTATTAGGGCCTATCAATTCATTGTGTTTTTTTGGTTGATAAATAATCGTGTTTGTTTTTATTTTTATTGTGAGTTATATAAACTTTTTTAGGATTTTATGCCTGTGATTTTTTTGTTGGCATCAAGGAGGATTAAAAATATCTCTTTCCCCATCATCCACGCATTACCACGTTTTGTTGTTGGGTCCGAACTTGCTTTGTCTCGTGGCTTAATTTAGGGTTTTAGGATATTATATGCATTTGTTTGTATAACCATAAAAATCCTATATATCTACTAGGACAACCTTTAATTTCTTTGAATATGGTGATATATGAATACCTTGGTATCTCCCTCCTGTTTGAATGAAATGAATGCGTGTGGCGATTGTATCACTGGGATGATGCACAAAATTCATGCCAGAAATTATGCATGAATTGACATACTCTGCCAAAGGGTTTGCTAGTGCTTCCTTGAGTCTGTAATGAGCAAGGATTTGCAAACCCCTGAAGCGTTGGTCTGGTGGTGAAGGCCTGGGGCCTGGGATGTGCTCTCTCCATGGTCTCAGGTTTGAGACCTCCTAGGCAAACAATCAAAGCCCCAGCTTTAATTTGGCCCTGCTAGTAGATGGTGGGATCGGTCCTCGGGAATAGTTCGTCCATTGGGGCTAGATACCAAGTTAAAAAAAAGAGAGAAGGATTTGCATATCTGCATTTCCTTTGCATATGGGCATGAATGGGAAGTCATGTTGGGCTGTTAATTGAGAGAAGATTTTATTTAAGGATTCAGCCTAAACATAGGAGGCCACTTCTGAAGATGTTTTGCACTGCTCCCAAACCTGTGAAAGGGCCCCGAAAATTGACCTAAATGATAATGATTATACTTGTTTCATCAGGAACCCAACACGTCCTTTTTTTCTTTCCTACCCCGATGCAATGTAAAATCCGCACCAAGGCTTTGTCGTCTTTAGCACCTATGTTTAGACAACCTTGATAGCTGGATCTGGAGATTTTGAATGCATTCGTCTCCATTTCTGTTTGGTTCATTTGGTGCAAGCTTCCCCCCCACGTCATTTTTTTCTCTATGTATAAGAAATAATTCTTGAAACCTACTTACGTAATGAAGTATGTGGAAGCCCAGCCATGCTTTATGACATAAAATATTGTAGGTGTGAGGCTATACGTTTCAAGCTGAATATGCTGGATTAATAATGAGCAGAAGAGGACAAAAAACTAGGATTGAAGTTTTGGTGAAGAGACTTGCAGACTGGCAGATTAGAGCTAATGTGTGGGAACGCATTGTTTGGTAAATCTATAAATTAAGAAGATGTGCCTTTGTATATGTTAAGGCCTGATCATGAATTGATATCACCATCAAAATTGTAACACCCATTAAGAAGATGTGTCTTTATATATGTTTAGGCCCGTTTGGTAAGTCTATAAATTAAGATGATGTGCCTTTATATATGTTAAGGCCTGATCATGAATTGATAACACCATCATGATCGTAACCCCCGTCAAGAAAATATGCCTTTATATATGTTAAAGCCTGATTATGAATTGATAACCCCATCAAGATTGTAAAATGAACCATTAAAATGGTTGCATGTTCCATTCTACTTATTCGTGGTAAGTTTTGTTTTGTGTAATAATTTGTAACTTTTGCACTCTGTGGTTCTATCCGAATGGTCAAACCAATAAGGTTAATTCGTTCATGTCGACGATTAATGAAGTCTCCATGGCTTCATTTCAGCATTTATTCATCTCTCTTTCTGGTGAGAAGTTTTCCGTCTTATGTTAGGATGTAGAATTCTGGTGAAAACTCTGGTCTGTTGGTAGCAGTGTTTCTCCACTAGGAAGTTATAAAAATTAACTGAGGATTTTTGGTGGATGTTTACCCCATACTTATAGAGAATAGTCATGTGCACCACCAGTTTGCCCATGATCGTTTTGAGTTGAGGTTGAGAGTGGAATAGGATTGGCTTCCCTTTGAAGCTGGATATCTGTTCTGCTGTTATAATTTTCCTGTTGCCTTTCGACTTCGTCTTGGTTGTACTTTCAATATTTGTGCAATTTCATGGACTATAATACAGCTTCCCTCAATGAAAGGATGAAATGCTTTATGTTTGTTAACTTGAAATTATATTTATCATTATTATTTGGCCGTTACAATTATTGAATCTGAAATCACCTGTAAAACTTGCAGAGATTGACATGTTTTTGCATCTGCACAATAAATAGGGTCTGCTTGTTAGTTGTACTCTCATAGTTTTCTAAACAATCAAACTCATTATATGGGCCAACTTGAATAATAGAATTTGGAACCACCCAATAATAAATATGAATTGTCAAAAAATTATCTCATTGGCCCTTTTTTTTAGTTTTTAAGCAAATTTAATATTCAATTCAAGATCTGCTTTGTCTTTTTTGTTTGCTTATGTTAATGATGGTGGTGGTGGTGATCCTTGTTGATTAATCAAATTTAATAATTAATTCAAGATTTGCTTTGTCTTTTTTGTTTTGCTTATGTTAATGGTGGTGGTGGTGGTGGTGGTGGTGGTGATCTTTGTTAAAATGACTGGTTTTTGTAGAATGTGTCAGGGATTTAAAATTTGCACATGAATTACTTAGAACACCTGACAACATGTAGATTTATGTATGTTTTTTGTATTTTATTTCATTTTTACATTTTGACGTGCTCATATAATTTTTGTTCCCTTCAAAGTTGGACGGGGAATCTCTTGACAGAGCTTTGAGCTCTAGTCAGACAAATGTATATACTGCTGCTTTGTTCTATGCCTCATGGTGCCCTTTTTCAAGTGGTGTTCGATCCAAGTTTGCTGTCCTCAGTTCAATGTTTCCTCAAATCAAACATGTAGTGCTTGAACAATCTTCTGCCATGCCAAGGTGGGTATTGTAGTCTGATCTTTTGTTTTATTGTTATTTACTTGTTCAGATGGATTATATTATGTTGCAGTCGTTATGTCTGATGAGAATATAGATCAGAATGCTTGTATAGTGCACTGTCTGCCAGTTTCTGTAACTTAGGAGAAATTTGATCGTTTTTTGCATATTTTAGCTAGTACACTTTACATTATAGACCTGGTTCGGATGTGTCAAAAAATATATATTATAGATATATATATATATTTTTTTTCTAAAAAAAAGAACAATACTCATAATAATATTCTTGTTCAATAATAATTTGTGCTGGCTGATTTTCGGTATGTATCAGTTAGTATTGTTTGCAATCTTCTCAAATCTGGTCTGTAGTTTTCTATTCCTCTTCAGCTTGCAACTGCTTCCTCCAAAGGGTTCACATCATCTACGCGTTTGACAGGAGCAGTTTTATTTTTATTTATTTATTTATTTTTTTCAACAATCGTTATAGTACTGTGAGTCTCGACGTTTGAATTTGGAGACATGGATAGGGCATGTGGAAGCATTGCTATAGTACTCCATATGAGTGGTAGTAGTTGATCCGGTCACATTTATTTAAATGAAGTGCCATGTCCTGCTCTAATCCTCAGATTTTAACGATTGGCTATATCAGCATACCATGTCATGTCATGTCCACATCTTCTGTACATATCAATACAAAACATGCTTTCAGCTTTTTCCTTTCTGAGTTATCTGGGCTCTACAATCACCAACCACATTGATCATCTCTGGATTTGAAGGGGTGCTTGTGTTTCTAGCTAGAAACAAAAATGAGGTATTATGTCTCATATCCCTTCCCCGGCTGTCTGCTATTATTAAAGATTGGCTGTATAAAGCATGTCATGTCGTGTCATGCCCGTGTCTTTATTTCCTTATGGGTACTGCATAGGCTTTCAACTCTGCCTGATAAAAAAATTAAAAAAAAAAAAAAAAAAACCTGTTTTGTTTGAGTTATCCTGGCTTTATAGTCGCCAATCATATTTGATAACCTCTCAATTTGATGGGGTGCTTGTCTTTATGGCTGAAAGGAAGAAAATAAAAGGAAAATTGCACATAAGTGGGATGGTCTTAAAAGTTAAAATAATTGCACTATAGGTGGAATCTTTTTTGGTGCAAGTATGTATGACACACAAAAGATTTGCACCAAACACGGAAAAGGCTCGCACCATACACATAAGAGACTTGCACCTTCCCACTGTCCAACGGAAATGCAATTTTCCCAAAAATGAAAACAAAACCCTGGTTTTTGGTTGAGTAACAGAACTGCATTTCTCAGACGGGATGTGGTGGGATAAAGTGTGTCTTTACAGATATTGGAGGCTTGCATGGGAGTGAAGTTAATATCTTGAATTTTGATTTGGAATATTTTTTTTTGGTTTCATGATTGAGGAAACTCTATAATTCATATGTAGTAGATTGGGTTCTTGGGGTTGGTTAACAAGCCAGTAATTTGACATATGGTATGCCATGGTGTATATCAAAAGCTGTTTATTCAACACGAGAAAATGTAGGGCATTGCTTCTCCATAACATTTTTGGCATTTGCATAAAATAAGCTGACTTGCTTGGTGTTTTATATGTATGCAGTGTTCTTTCAAGATACGGAATTCATAGCTTGCCTGCAATATTGATAGTGAACCGGTCATCAAGGGCACGGTATCATGGTCCAAAAGCTCTCTCCTCATTTGTGGACTTCTATAAGAGAGCTACAGGTAGTGCTTCTAAATAAACTACTTAAAAAACTGTCTCCAAATATTCTATGTTGTTTCCTTTTTTTTGTTCATTTGTCATCTTCCTTTTCCTTAATGACTCCATTAAATTATGGGATTGGAGGTCAATGTCCATTTGTGTTTCATGCCCTGCATTTTATTTTCTTGTTTAAATTAGCTACGGCTTTACCCCGTATCTTTGTTTCTGTCTCAGGACTTGACCCGGTAGTGGATGTGACTGAAGAACAAGGGAGCTACTCCGAAAGTGGTCATAAAGCACTTAACGCATGGAAAGGAAACTCTTTGAAGGAGATATTGTTTAGGGAACCTTATCTAATTTTCTCGGTGTTGTTCCTCTTTTTAAGGGTATTCCTATATTTCTTCCCAGAGATAATATCCCGTTTAATCACTCTGTGGGTTGCTTGCATACCGCATCTAAAGGTCAGAATCTTTGGAGAGACAAGGCAACTTTTGGGGCGTGTTCTCCACCTGATTGATGTAAAGAGAGTCTGGAGCAAGCTGAAGCTGTGCAAAACCAGGAAATTTCATAATGGAGCTAGGAGTGCTCGGGTTTGGGCATCGTCTTTGGCATCTGTCTCATTGGGTGAGACTTCCCCGGCAAGATCGGTTGCCTCAGGGGATTCCTAGAACTTGATGAATGGGTTTCACCTCAAATTGAACCAAGGACGAACTTGACTTTTGATCATGAGGAGCATACTTCTATGATGGTCACAGAGGGTTTTTAACTGTTTTGTTAGTTCTATTTTTCTCACATATTTTTTTTTGGGTTGAAATGTTGTCTTGAATTTATCTATATATCTGTAGAACTGAAGGTGTTCTGTTGTTTGTGTGTTCCGAGGGAACTAAGATAACAAAGATGTAAATTTGAGAAGATTAATCTTTTTATGTATATTATCTTAGCATTTGAATGGACGTGCTACTTTTGAAATGCGTTATAAGGATTGTACTACCTATATATGTTGTGACTAATAGGGTTGAGTTTATGTTGATCAATATTAGACTGGGTTTGACCTGACATAACGTAGTCCCTTATTAGGTAGTAGTGTAAGTACAGCTTTAACGCGATCTAGCCCAGCTGATGCTCACACCGGGCTAAATTGGACTGTTTTAATTTGGTCAAAATCGATTTCATGCAGAATCGACTAGATTCTTGCAGGTTAGGCGGTGAGTCGGTTGATTTCACACAATTAACTAGATTCTTGTTGGCAAGGCCCTAAAGTGAAAATACCATTCTCCAGTCTTAGGACTGACCTTGGCGGGCCAGCTCAAACGCAATCTCGCCCAACCAATGCCCACACTAGGCTAAATTGGACTGTTTATTTGGTCAAAATCGATTTCAGAATCAATTAGAATCTTGCAACTTAGGTGGCGAGTTGATCGATTTCACACAATCAACTAAATTCTTGTTGACAAGGCCTTATAAGTGAAAATATCCTTCTCAAGTCTTAAAATAATAAGATTGATCTTGGCGGGCCAACGGGTCAATATCCATGCCTAGCCTAGCTAGTGCAATTCAATTTTGATGGGTCAGTCACAATTGGATTATGGCTTGAGCCAGTTATCCTTGTAGGCATTCTCACTGTTTGTCCTGGTAAATTTTTTCCGTAGACCTTGCAAAATAAACCCATTTACATATACAGCCCATTTGGAAAATAACTTGGCCATACATATAACCAAACCAGTAACCCATTTCAAATTTGGCATAGAAATCTATAGATTCCATGTTCTAGCTAAGGGCAAGATTACTTTTCATTTCAAAATGAAATTTTGCTAACTATTTCACTTGGTACAGAAAATGTGATATGAACAAGCTAATAGAACTGTTCTTTAAGGAGGAACCTCTGTAACAAGTGTTACATTGAACCAACACCTAAAACATGACTATACTGCAAATTACATTCGTTCATCTAGAGTGGCAGAATCAAAGTACTGAAATTACAATAGTGAATTGAATATATATATATATATATATATATATATTTGTTCTCAAACTACAGTTTCACTAGAACATAATTCTAATGAACCAACACCTATAAAAATAATGTTTGACTGCAAATTACATTCATTCATCCAGAGTGGCAAAATCAAATTACTGAAATTGCAACTAGTGAAGTGAATATATATATATATATATAAATAGTTGTTCTCAAACTACAGTTTCACTATAACATAATTCTTCCGATTCCAAACTCAACACAGAAGAACAGAGAGGTTAGAATACAAAAGAACATAAACTAAAGTCTTACTACACATCCAGAGTTCAAATACTCTACCGCACATCCAAAGGGTGTTACAGTAGCACGTCCCTCCCCGACCGAAGAAACCCCACCAACTCATTGTTGATGATCTCTACGGTCCAAAAATCTTGCTCACTAAAAGATTAAAAGTTGAATGAATGAAAAAAGCAAGAAAAATCATAATTTAGAAGTTCAAACTGTTGGGATTTAACACAAACTCTTTAAGAGTCTTTCACATGAATCTAGAAGACTCCGGAAAGTTGTAGAGAAATCCGGAAGATTCTAGAACATCCTAGAAGAAGAATTCGGAATATTGGAGAAATTTAGACAAATTTATAAGGTTTCGAAAGAACATAGAGTATTCTAGAAAAGTATAAAAAAATTCCACTATGTACTACAATAGTTCAGAGAATTGTATAATATAGTGGAAAGGTAAAAAGATTCTATAATATTTTAGAAGGCTAATGATAGCCCTGGATCAATTTGATTATAGTCATCCGTTAAGAAGGTGAAAGACTATATAAGGAGAAGACTCCTCATTTTAGATAACATAGAATTGAGATAAGAGTGCTGTGATACAGAGTAGGGTGGTGCGGTGAGAAACACAACCAACCCAAGTAGTGTTTGTAATTGGAGGTTAGTATTTTATATTCATGTCTGTCTACTGTGTTTTTGTTATATGAGCTTGCAAATTACATTCATGTGGCAAAATCAAAGTACTGAGTTTGTAACTAGTGAAGTGAATATATATATATATATATATTTGTTCTCAAATTACAGTTTCACTTGAACATAATTCTTTTGATTCCAAACTCAACACAGAAGAATAGAGGTTAGAACACAAAATGACATAGACTAAAGTCCTACACATCTAGGGCATGTTTGATTGGGTGGATTAAGGCATGGGATTGTGATTATTAATCCGTGGGTCCAATTATCCTATGTTTGTTTTAACATTTTGGTTTAGGATTATTAATCCAATGGATAATTAATCCAACAAATTTGTAGGATTATTAGTAATGGGGGAGGGGTGAGATTATTAATCCAATGAATATTAATCCAATTGGATAGTGAATACTACACTAATTTAATAGGATTATTAATACTTCACTATTAATCTTGTGAATCAAACATGACCCTATAGTTCAAATACTCTGTTGCACATCCAAAGGGTATTACGGTTACACGTCTCTCTCCGACCGAAGAAACCCCACCAACTCATTGTTGATCAGTGGAGCTATGAAGGGACTAGGGGCACGTGCCCCTCTCAGGTATTGTAATTTTTTATATTATTATTATTATTATTATTTTTTGCATATGAGGAAAATAATTAAACAATAAAAAATTTATATAGAAATAACATTTAGAACGATTTCTTAATGACAATTTTCAAATTACGAAAATAATGATGGTTGTTTTGATTAAAAATGAAAAAATTACAACAAACCACATTATTAAAAAAATTTAGTGCAACAGTAATATTAAATCATCACTTACATGTAAACATAGTTAATCCCACTACGAAAATGAGAAATTATTGAATTATTAATTATATTTAAAAAGTGTGATTGACCTTTCATGCATTATTTTACTATTAATTAGTGATATCATATATCGATGATAATGTGGTATCATTATTATTTATATGTTATTATATAATCTATTATAAGACATACTAGACTCTTTTGCATTGCTTATAATACATTAGTTACAAGTAACACCATATATTTTTAATTCTAATTTTTCACAAGGGCAATTGTAAAAGCAAAAATTTTATATTAAATATTTAAGATTTTGTGTGTAATATTAATTTAAAAATTATTATCTATTGTTATTGATTATGAGGAAATTTTTTTTAAAATTTTAATTAACAAATACCCCTTCTAAACTATTTTTCTGGCTCTACCACTGTTGTTGATGATCTCTGCAGTCCAAAAATCTTGCTCACTAAAAGATTAAAAGTTTAATGAATGAAAAAGCAAGAGGAATCATAATTTAAAAGTTCAAACTATTGGGATTCAACACACTCTCTAGAGTCTTACACATGAATCTAGAAGATTTCAAAAAGTTGTAGCAAAATTCGGAAGATTCTAGAACATCTTAGAAGAAGAATTCAGAATAGTGGAGACACTTTGAGAAATCTAAACAAATTTATAAGGTTCCAAAATAATATAACGTATTCTAGAAAAGTATAAAAAACTTCCTTTACTCTGCAAAAAAGACAAATACCAAAACGCCAGTGATCTCCCCCGACCAAGGTTGGTCGGAGGGACCCTCCGACGATTAAATTAGAACCTTGTTTAAACAAGTCATTTTTCTTCTGAAGTGTAGTATCTATTTCTTTGTTTTCACTTGCCTTTAAATGGTTTTCCTTCATCCTTTTATAGTGTGGATACTTGGTATCGTGACCGTTAAATTATGGTACTGATCCAATGGTGTTTTTTGTATGCAGAGACTGGTGGGGCAAGTAGACAAGTGATTTTTATATGCCTTTGTCGGCTGCCCGGTGTTACAGATGGCCTAGATTTAGTTCGAGTTTTGCGCACTCATTCCTAATCATTGGATTGATCTTATCAGATGCCCAGATTGTCAGAGTTGATCGATTTTGTATCCTTTCTTTTGTTAGTTTTGATCTCTATCGTTGATTTCTATCTCATAGAAGGGTTTTCCTTCCTGTTTAAGGATCTCTTTTCTGAAAGCGATTCTATCTAAATCTCCTATCACGTGACCTTGTTTGCTTTACAATTGTACCTTCTAAGGGCTTGGGTCTAGACTTTTCCCTAGCTGGGTAAAAATGCTTTGGGGCCGCGTCTTAACTTGCTTGGGCCTTGGGCTTAAATTGTTATCCTCCACAATTGGCCCTCGTCGGCGTTTCGTTGTAATCGAATTGCCGAAGGTGCCCTAGCCAACTGTCGCAGGTCCCTAGGAAAACAACGCTGTATGTGATACGCATCTGTTGAGTATCCTTATTTAAATAATGACGCTCGTCATTTCTTTCTTTAATGCGCCGTTTCACTTCTGACGTATTTAATCGAAGGTTTTGCCCCCTTCCTTTTGTCATTGCTCATCGCATTACGCCTTCTGCTCTTATATTCGTGTCTTTGCCCTTCAGCAGAAGTTCTTTGTAAGTTTATCCCTTTTCTTTTGCGATTTCTCAATTCTGTTAGCTTTTGTTTGACTAAAATGAATCGATTGAGGTCATTCTCCGAATCCGAAGAGAGTATTGCTGAATTCAGGGCGTTATATAGTGTTCTTAAGGATGTCATTGTTCGCCTTCCTACCTCCGATGACAGTTTGTCAGAGAGTTCTGAAGAAAGAATTCCTCTTCCTTTGATAGATATAATAGAGGAAGGAGTTAGATTTCCTCTGTGTCCCTTCCTTCAAGAGGTGCTTCACTTTTATGGGGTGCCCTCTTCCCAATTATCTCCCGATTTTTTTAGGATAGTGATGGATGTAGTGGCCCTGAATGACATTCTTAGAATTAATTTAGGTCTGTCTGAGATTAGGTACTGCTATAATTTTGTTTCTACTACCAAAGAGAGCACAAAGTTTTACTTTAAACCCAGGTCGATGAAGCGCCAGCTCGTTCAAATGCTTCCTGATTCTGGTAAGGGTGTGAATGATGTGTTTGTCATAATAGAGGGGAATTAGGAATTTCCTCCTGGAGTTGATCGGATCCGACTTATTCCTA